AATCCATTAATAATGGCGGCGATTAATCTAAGAAATGGGAATCGAGGGCCGTTGCAATAAATTGTTGACCACTCGAGATATATTTCCTGCGGAGTTGGTTGCACGTTTTCCTTTTGCATCTAGCGCTCTGCAATTTCTCCGATTGTTTTGATATGAGGGCCTCGGGTGGTCYAGTGATGGATCTGTCRGTGAGCGGACTTCTCTCTTCTCATTTATCAAATTTTTCTTCACTGTTTACCTCAACTTGTCACTAATTACCGGAACCATCTTCCTCTTATCACACACAATCATTTTTCCCACGTCTTGGTAATTAAGGTAATAACCATCCGAGGTGGCTGCACCACCATGGTACTATCACGATCTTCTCCCCGCTTTTTTGCTTAAGTTACCGTGAAGACATCGCACAGTCGCATTGTTGTCTGCCCACCGATCCATAACAAACGACCTGCACAGGTCTTGGGTCACTGTCACGATCACTTGACCACGGGAAAAACTAAATCTACCCAATGGAGCTTCTTGGGTGATAACTGATAATCGGGAAGAGCGATTTTCGCAATACAGCGAYTCCAAACCGCAAGATTCTCATAAAACCAGACGCTAATTGCCCACAATAAACAATATTTATACCAAGCTTCACCACATTTGAAAAAAAAAGTAAAACCATTAGAATGCAGAAATTCAAAATTAAGAAAATATCAATTGAAGTCTTCTTTTATAGAAAATTTTAGTCTGGTTTATGACTTTTTAAGTTGGGGTAGTAATAAATCTCGATACAAAGAAACCCAACACAAATAAACAAAATAAATGAAGTTCTTTAATGGGAAAAATTTAAAATTCTACCATTTTCATTAGAAAATTATAATGCAAATTAAACATAAAGACACATCCTCGAAGATCTAATTAGCCATTTCGATATACTACATTAAAAATAGACAAGCAAAAGTGAAAACAAAARAACTATAAAAGTATCTCAATAAATGAACAAAATCAAAAAAAAATTACAATTGAAAGGGGTATTTTTAGCTGGGGGTAAAACTTAATTCACCCGAGATAGTGATTTTATTCTTTTTCGACCTTCTACGTCTCCATTTCCAGTTCATTACTCCAATCTTGTTTTATAATTTGAAGGATTATTATCTTTGGAATGAAATTTCCCATTAAACAGCTAATACATAATACGATCGCATCTATTAAAGCTGGAGATTCGATTGGCCCACATTTTGAAACTTGCACTTTCGGAAACGAGTTATTACTTATTAATGATTTTATAACAACTTTGTCCATGGGTTGAAAATGACGGATTGATGGTAAAACCAGTAAAATACCTTTCAAATTCTGCTGATATGTTTTACCAGTAATAACAGTTATTTCAAGATGATCAACATTTTTGTTTTTGTACTCAAACWAAATTGAAGCAAATCATAATTCTGCAAATATTTTGAAATTAAAGTTCATTGAAGAAAAAAAGACAAAAACTCAATCTAAGGTGATTTTGGAATTAATTCGTCAARCAAACTTTAGATATAATTAACCTTGAATGGCACAGAATTTTGAAACAGATAATACACAACTGATTCACTTCATTTCACAATCATACTCGCACAAGCAATAAAAGTCTTCATAAATAATAACGAAA